CCTTCCCCCTTACGGTTCGGTTGTCCCTTCGGTCGACGTCTCTAGTACTACGTATATACTATATATACTATATATATATATATATATATATATATATATACTATCGATAGATTGATGAATTGTGTTTTTTGAATGCTGAATATCAAATGCTATGGTAACTTCCTGCTCATAAAAACCTATTATTTCCTAAATCTAAATAATCGCTCGAACACAATGCTGTCGACCCAGTCATTTCATACGATTTTACAATTTTCTGTTATTGAGGCGTTGCGGAAATTTTGCTAAGAATTCGTAAAATTTTCCTTGCTGTAGTACGCTGAAAAATTGATTTATGCGTGGGAATAAATGATAGCGTATGACGTCAAGCTAACATTTCTCGTCAATACTTTTTAGAAAGAGCCGCTGCTGCTAGAGATATGTACTTCGCTAGTAAACGTACACAAGCATCAAAGAACTACTAAAACATGTGTTCCATAGATTTTCAACGACGTTTGTTGTGGGGGTTTACATACTATAAAATATAAATTATGTCTAAAATATCCCCCCTGCCCAGCCGATGCACACGAACGCGGGAAATCGACACAGTGTCACGTGGTAATGTGGCGCTAAAGAAAGGGAACCACGTGGGCCGGGTTGAAATATGAGAAGCATTTCGGTCACTCGCGGGTTCGCAAGACGGTTGCGGTTCTAAATTTCTCTAGTCCGGACAGTATAGATTATATCCAACTCATTGCCCTCCCCGGCTCATTTCATATCCAAGCTCTACCTCGTCTGCGAACACGGGCTACGCATTCTTGACGGCATGCAGAAGCTTTACATTGGAAATTTAGGTCAGGATATTGACGAGCAGACACTTCGCGACCTGTTCGAAGAGCACGGCATCGAAGGTGAAAGTTTTCTCGTCAAGAAAGGAGGATACGCGTTCATAGATTGCCCAGACCAGGTGAACGCTGACAAAGCCATTGACAAACTGAACGGTAAGTGAACCGGTGTGTCTAATTATTTTTACGGGGTAGGTAATACACGAGGGCGAACCCACCGTGGGATCCGACTTTGTTATATTTGCAAAGCTCAAAAAAACATGGCGGCGGCCAGCAAACATCACATGGCCTGCACGCACTGCATAGTTCGCGCCTTGGGCGAATGGGTATCGTTGAAACTCGCATATATATTCTTCGGCACAAAGCACTTGTATTGATTCCTATTATTTTTTGTCATTTAAACACAAGTTGTCGTTGTCATGTAGCTTCACTTTGTCGCAAAACTTGTGCTGCTATTCTAAGAATGGATTTTCTATAACTGAACATTCACTTGAAGTTGAAGATGTGTGTCATGCTACTACTAGTAGTAGTAGTAGTAGTAATAAACTGTAATATAACGTAGCTATAGTTATGTATTAAAAGAATTATGTATCCAAGTGCTACTGCAAAAAGTATCGTAAGATAGCTGTAAAATGTATAAGTTATTCACAGTGGCTATATGCCCGGCAGCCGGCGTATATCTGACGGCTGCCGGGCACGGTCTTCGATTTCCTAAATGCCCGGCAGTTTTTAATTTTTAGCGTTATCTCAAGTAAACAAGGGTTAGGGTTAGAGTTAGGATTAGGGTTAGGTTTAGGGCTAGAGTTAGGGTTTTTGTTAGGTTTAGGGTTAGAGTTAGGGTTAAGAACTGCCAGGCATTTAGGAATACGAAGACCGTGCCCGGCTGCCGGGCATATAGCCACAGCGTAATTTATTAATGTGTCATGGGCGGCAGGAGCAACTTGCCTAGAATTTATGAAGACCAAAAGACTGGGTAGGAACTGGACACATTGTTATAAGTAAAGTAACGCTCAGAAGTATCATAGGCCTACATTATACAGCTTATACTATTACATAAATTAATATATTTGTAAAAGCTTTCTTGTGTGTGAAGTTTAGGCAAGCAACCTATATAGTAATAGTATAATATGGTGTGGAATATGAAAAAACATAAAATTAGTGTCGGTTTCATCAGTTTAGTTTTACAAAGACAGTTACGATGTATGTTGAAATATTTAAATACTTGATGTAATTGACATTATACAGGTTATGATAATGCTCTGCGGTGACGAAAGTCTGTTCTTGTAAGAGTCGGGTGCTGCTCCTAGAGTAACTCCTGCCAAAGAAGCCAGCACGTAGTTTGTCCAAACTATAGGTACTAGACTCGCAACAAGCGGAATGAAGCATTCTGTTTCCATATTTTCGAAAGGTGGTAGTATTTGTGTTCTGAGGCCAAGGTACGAGACCTGCCCATGACCCCAGGAAATTTTTTTCTATCTAAATCCATTTTTGACTTAACTAAATATGATAAATCTTATTCTTAAGTAGGATTTTTGTAAAAAAAAAAAATTAAAGGGTGTAAGATGTGTAGAGAGTAGTAGTCTGCCCCACCATTAGCAAAACTCTGAAGCTGTTGTAGTAGTGTAACTTGTAGTATTCTTTGTGCGCATGTCTTGCTTGGAAATGACATCTCAAGTTGTAGAGTGAGGTACTTATACTTGTTCCAGAGTATCTTTCCTCTATATGTGAAAATAGGGCAATTATAATTTGTTTATGGCCAACCTTGTAGAAAACACAGCCGAGTCTGCAATTTTTCTGGCATCTCAAAGAGTGCAAAGTTCAGGCTCCAGGAGGGTTGTTAATATTTTTTGCTCTACCCTGTCTTAATTGTCTGAGATTATTACACAAATCCTCTTAATTTAATGATATAAGGGTTGGGTGATTATTGATGAATCCATGCTGAACCAACACTTGGCACTTTGCTAACGAAAAATATGCATGTAAAGCCTCTGTGTTGCCTATAATCCTAGCCTCCACAGCGTTTATTACCTTTAGTATTTGTCTCACAAAGAATTAGGCGCTCTGAGTAGTTTCCTTAGGGCGCGCTGATAACATGCCATTTTTATTGATTTGCCCTACATTTCTCCTAGCCGCTCATAGCGTGCCCTATATTCTCGAAGGGATGCATATATTCACAGTCCTGATATGATGCATAAATGCAAATTAAATATTTTCAAATTGTTTGATAATTTAACTCGTTCCTAATTTTGTGGTTATTAGTGACTTCGTGCAAATTATGGTTACTCATCAATCTGATGATACATTAGATGATGTTTACTGTAGTTTTCACATACTGTTTCGGTTTTTAAAATATTTTGTGTACATAGGTACGTCTGCAAATTATATGTACATGTATGTAATATGGTGTATTTAAAATAGCTGTTCAAAGTGATGAGTACAGTTTTAAATGTGGTGTTGCATGAGTTACCTGGGAATATTATTTGTAAAAACTCATTGAGGTACTAACGTGTAAGTACCCTCATTTAAGGAAGTAATCAGTATCTGTTCCCAAAAAAATACATGCGTAAAGAATTATGCAATTAAACATTGTCAGAGACCTATATTGATTATTCAAGGAGGTAACGCAGCAACATAATAATACTGGGAGGGAAGGGGGCTCAGCATAAGAAATAATTTCCTGTATTGGGAGTACATTGGGCACAGCACACGAATTGCAGGAACATGCACATTCCGAATCTGTACACACTGCTTTTGGGTGATTGCATGTCAGTGATTTCTCCGAGGGCAGTAAACTGCATAACAAGCTAGCAACACATTTTTAAAATTTTTGATTTATTGGAAGCTGGCTGCTCATTATTGCATTAATTATGTTATCATATTTATATATAACGAAAAATATATTTGTTTATATATATATATATATATATATATATATATATATAAATATATCAAAGATTTAAATCGGTTCTACTTTTCATGTTGGTCAATGCTCAATTATAAATAGGAACTGAGCTCATTGAGAGGTATCAATTCCTTCCATTAATAAATATCAATGAGACTATCGAGAGACTATCAGTGACTGTTTCCATAACTATTGAAGGGATTTTGAAATATCATTTCACTGAAGTGGAACTTTTAAGAATTAAAGTCAAGCCGGTAATAAGCAGTGAATGAATGTGTTTGGTGGGAAAGACTTCATCATTCACCTGAAATTTATATTGTTTCATTTTATAGCCAGTTTCTGTAGCAGAAGCTTTAGCACAGTCGGTGGTAGCAGGTGGCGGTGGGTATGACCGCAGCAGAATAGAGTTGTGCCCTGATGATGAGCAACTGATGTCTTTTCTCAATACACTCTCACTAGTTTCAGTGAATCACTTGGATGTGTTGAGTGTAATGACAATAGGCAGACTTCTAACGAAACTTGATACAAAGTAAACCGGAGACTAGACCGGTAAAGATCATTAATCGAGTTTATAATAACAGTGCGCAAAATTAGCGCTATTTTCCCGGGCCGGCGGCCGCCGGTTCAACCCGCCATATAATCAGTCCATTTGGCCTATTATTAAAAAAATTTCTATCTTGCTTTTATAAGTTTGTATCAACAATATTTACCAATTTCCTGACTAGTTTTTACTTCAGTCGCTAAGACTCTACTCTACTTCTTTTATACAAACTGTGCAAATAAGTAAGTACTGTGAGTATGCCTAATAAATACAA